CGGTGGCCTGTATGTAAAGGTTCCTGTTCATCAGATTTTAAATTTAAGCCCATTGCAAAGCTACAATTAGAAATTGAAAAACTGGTGAAAATAATAAGTAGCTTTTTCAACTTTACTTCTGGTCCTGCTTAATATTATATTTAGTCACACTTAGAACAAAGGCTTATTTACATATTTGCTTTTCAGCACACAACATATCAGGTCAAAGCTAACAAAGCTAAACAGTTCATTATAATACTGGGTTTAAACACCAAAGAACACAAATCCCATAATAAAAAAATCACATTTTTTCCATTGTTGGCAACAGATAAATAAAACACTATATGATACACAAATAGTTTCACAGCCAAGAGTTGCTTCTGATGATTACACATACCATTAAAATTGACACTAGCTAGAAGCATCGCTAAGACAAGGTTCATTATCTAAGGCTTCAGTTTCTTCTGTTTTTTCAGAATCTTCAGTATTGACGGTTTCTTCGACCGTTTGAGCATTCTCTTTCTCCTTCTTTTTCTTCACCAAGTCCACAAGGTATTTAAACCTTATCATGCACTCCTCCTAGAAAATAAAAGAAAGCTTTCAGTTAAATCAAGTTCAAACATGATTAAAACTTCAAAATGGACCAGTTTTTTTTTTGTTTTTTTTTTTACCTTAGTCTTATCAGGAACACATTTTGCTATTTTTTCCCATCTATCTTGAGTCGAACCTTTAGGGTATTTAATTAAAGCTGCCTCAAGAGCCTTCTGTTGGATTTGATTCCAAGAAGATTCCATTTTACTCTCATAATCGGCTTCGGCTTCAGTTGGTTCACAATCCCCCAGTTTCCCACCTCGCGTCTTGACCTTCTTGATTTTAAGAAGATGCTGGACTTCACCTTCACCCTCTCTAAAAGCCAAAGTTAATTATGGAATTAATCATAAAGAGAATTTAAAAAGTCAGAATTATGAGACTAGATTAGAACAGAGAATTTCTCACCTTTCAGCATTGGGTGTTTTGTAAAGCCCTTCTTTTACTCTCTGGGCCATGTGAGTTACTTCATGAACTGAACGTTCCATAGCGTCTGCAATTTTTTCCCATCGCTCCAGTGAACCAGCTGGAAATTTCTTTACTAATTTTATAAGTTTATCTATATCTTCATCAGTCCACAAACCGCCACTTTGAGCAGGCCTGCAATTTTGACATAAAAGATAGAAATGGCGGTACTGTATACTGGTGCACACACTGCACACATGCAAAAGACCTTGAATTCATACATACTTTTTCATTTGTGACTTCATCTCTTTCTTAGCCTTGGCTAAAATTTGAGCCTGGGTAAGAACGGAACTGTCATCTCCAGTTATTTCAGGAGCAGAAAATCCACCACCTTTACGTTTTCTTGGTCCACGTCCTGCTTTCTCTGCAGCTGCTGCTTCTGCTGCAGCTCTTTCTTCTTCTTCCATAAGTCTGTAAAATATGCAAGAAAACCATGAAATCTATGTCAAGAAGCTTGACTGAAAAATTGGAAAACATTTGTCATGTATACCTTAATTCTTCCTGAAAACGCTTACGTTCCTGCAGTTGTTCTACTATAATAAAAGGTAGTTTGGCAACTAACCACCAAAGGAAACGAGGAATTTGAAATGGGAGGGTGTCCTTGACACTGGAATAAAATCAAATACTGTAAGATATATATGTACCATACTAGGTTTACAAAGAAATACTCAATGGTGTTGAGTATGACAACTCACCTTGGAATTGGGATCTCTGACAATACTTCTTCAACAACAGGTGCATCTCCTTTACTTTTCTTGACTGCTTTCTTCTGCTGCTTCCGCATCTTTGATGAAATAAATTCTTGCTGTTTGAACAGAATCAAGCAAACTTTAATAGTCTATAATATTAAACCACAAGTAATTTGTAGGTACTACTTACTGCAATGAACTTCTTCTCCAAGTAAGATCCCCATCCAACAAGATATTGTCCAACAGTCAAAATAACAAACAATATAACAGACATTTCCGCTAATCCCATCTTGCGTACTCTTCGATAGTAGTAAACTGCAGATTTCCAATCTGGTAATCCATTAACCAGGACGTCATCATACAGCTTTCTTTTATTAGGATCTTTTATTACGTCGTAAACAGCAACCAGCTGTGACAGAAACAGAAGCATTCATTATTGCTTTATCCCTGATCTGCAATTGCAAGGTATTAATTGATACTTAACTTACCTGACGGAACTTAACATCTGCATCAGGGGCTGAATTTTTGTCAGGATGAAGCACCAAGGATAGCTTACGGAATGCCTTCCGAATTTCTGTAGCTCCTGCATCCTATATAAACAAGCCAGAAAGTATCACATATACATCTACGATTTTAACAACAACAAAAAATAAGTTGGAAATGCTATTCAAAGTTCATTTTAATTAAAAAGATCAAAAGTGACTACATACTTTAGGTATTTCAAGAAGTTCATAGAAGTTCTTATTAACTTCTTCTACCAAGTCAAACAATTCATACTCATCATTGCTCCAAGCACTTGCAAGCACACAACACCCCGCCAAAATAAGAAAAAGATAAGTAACAGAGCGCATGACAAAGGTGTTTCTTAAAATTAAGAGAATTTGAAAATTTCCCCAGTTAGAAAATTTGACTACGTGGTGCACTTCAGACGTGAACGCACGGAACAGCAGACAACCCCCAACAAACCCGTTCGGTTGAGGTTATTGGCCCACCGGGAGAAGCGACCTGCAAATAACCATCCCGTCTGCATTGTGCACACCCACCCGCCACAGAACAACTTTGACAACTTGGCGTAACCGAGCCGGTCGATTGCGTTATTTTTTGTTTGAATGAAATGTTCGAAATGAAGAAGCTCGCCATTTTCAGTGTTTTTGCTCTTTCGCTCTTTGTTATTGTCAGTGGGAAGAAAGCAGACCCAGAAAAGAAACCAGAATGGGCGAAAAAGGACATTCGAGACTACAGTGATGCTGACATGGAAAGGTTACTGGACCAGTGGGAGGTACTTCTTTGAAATTTACGTCAGTATTTTGTAGTGCTCGCCGTCATTTGTAATTTCAAACCCAACTACCTTAAATTTGTACATTATAGGAAGACGAGGAGCCCTTACCTCCAGATGAATTACCAGAACACCTTCGTCCTCAACCAAAAATGGATCTAAGTGGGGTATGTTTCATTATTTGAAGACTTGTATAGCAAAGTTTCACATCATTAATCCAACCAATGTTCTATCTTCAGATTGATATGAATGATCCAGAACAGTTACTCAAAATAAGCAAGAAGGGGAAAACCCTCATGATGTTTGTCCACACGGCGGAAGGAACTCCTCGGCATGAAACAGAGGAGATAACAAAACTGTGGCAGACAGGTTTATGGAACAATCATATTCAGGCTGAAAGGTGAGCATCTTCATCTAAAGAACTTAATAGATTTAGTGTTGCTCTCTTGTGCAACTATGCAACTAACTGTATTTTGCTGATCCTTTGTCTTTAGATACCTTATTGGTGACGATCGAGCCATCTTCCTTTTCAAAGACGGTGCTCATGCATGGGATGCTAAAAACTTCCTAGTGGAACAGGAGAAGTGTTCACAAGTCATAATAGAAAGTAAAGCTTATCCAGGACCAGCATTTACTCAGGTAACATTTAACGTATCATAAATCTAGCAATATTGTCCAGAGATTTATTTTAATCTCGGTTTCTCTTTCAATCAAGGGTGGTGAAGAATTTGGACCTCAAGTAAGGGAGAGTGATCGTAAAAAAAGAAAAACAGAACTGTGATGTAGCTTTTGTTAATAATTTACAAATTATGTGTTACTTTTGCATTTACATTAGACACTCAATTATTTTTAGTGTTAAGAAAAAAAATGTATTCTAGAAATTTGTAATGAGAGGTAGTTTGTATGTGTGCCAATAATGCAGAATATTTTGATGAACAATGAAAACACATGAGCTGGTTAGATCACATTTAAAGAAATCCTATCGCTTTTAGGATTGTCTGCATCTGCTCTTCTGTATAGATTCTAAACTTTGTTTACCAAATTAGGTTACTTTTTCAAATTTATTTAATGCTCTTTGACATGTTTTTTTTAAGTAGCTATCAGTGTTTCTGAGGGGGGAAATAAATTAAGATTATCAATAGAACTGATTTAAACTATTACAGTTTATATAATCTCTCAACAAATAGTAATAATACAAAACCTTATTTTCATAAATGACCAGTGTTCTACTTGCTATTCCTGCATTTCTACACAGCTATTGGTGAAAGCAATTTTAATAGTAATTGTGTTGGGGGTAGTATCATCAGCTACAAACAGTTCACAACCATCAAAGAGTCCAAGCTCACTTAAAGACTTTTTCAAATTGTCACGAGTTTGTTTCTCAATGCTCGCAACATTTGACATGTACAGTGTACGAACGCGGCCACCTGCAGATGTTGTGATGCCTGGAGATTTCATTTGAAAAGATGGGCTGGTGCACAAAATATTTAGAACATCTTGTAACTTGACATTGGCATCAGCTATCTCTAGAGTCTTTGGTTTCTGACTGCATATCAGACAGTCTTCTTTCCTGGTATCAGAAAGGAAAATATATTAGCCATTTTATCAACTTCTGTTCCATTTCAATCTACTGAATAATTTCTACCTTTCAGCTTCATATGTGTAGGTGTAAATACCATCAACAACATTTAACACCATATAGTTATTCAAAGGTACACAACAACTTGTTGCTATTTTGAACACTTCAGTGGTGCATGCTGCAGCAATGACTGCATTAGTAGAGGCAACAGCTGGAATTATATTTTTTACCACGCCTTGAACAAGTCTGTATGTTATTCCCTACAACAAAAGTATGGAGGCAAATTAAAAAGTGAAACATCACACATAAAGAATTAAAAATTGTAAAAAGTATCAATATTTACCTGAATGCCAAATTGTGAGGCTCTTTCTAGTGCCTTCTCAAAAATCCAATTGATGTGAACTGGGTCATCGCCATCAATTGAAACGTCCCATGGATTCTCTTTTGGCCACTGTATAATCTTGACATATTCAATGCAATGTTCCGGAAGACGTGGCGTGTTTGCAATTGTGCAAAGAGGATAAGTTACCTAAATAAAGGAATAATTTACAATGCTCTAACAATGAAAACTCTAAAGAGTGATTTTAATAAAATTGCAAGGATTGTTACCTGAGGTGGATACAAATCTAAAGTGCATTCAATACAAGCTGTAATTCCAGGAAGCACAACCCTGGCATTGCCCTTGAAGCCTTCAGTTCCACCATCAACCATTGGGATGAGACTTGACTGATCGAGAACACCATCGCTATCATAAACCAGCATTGAAACTAAAAGTGAGTTGATCCATCTTCGTGCCACAATTGAATCCAAACCACAGACTACGATGTGGAACTGACGATAAAAAGACTCGTCATAATCTTGAATTTTTTTGAAGTGTGGAGTAACGTTGCAGCCAGGTACTCGAGTGTTAATAAACCGAGCTGCAACTTCAGCTTTTGATTGACCAATGTCCGTTCTTCGAAAAAGAAATTGTCGGTTGAGATTAGACAAGTCAATTGTATCCATGTCAATAACATGAATCTCTCGGAAGCCCATTAGTGCAAGGTCTTTCAGCAGTTCACAACCAAGACCACCAGCACCAATAACCAAAATTTTACAAGAGTTCATCAGAAAATTCAGCGTTTCAGTAGATGGCTCAAAGTCAGGGTGGCAGAAGGGGCCAGACCTCTCCAGGACCTTACGGAGATGTCCCCATCGCTGATTTGTTGCTTCTTGAGTGTCGGTAGGCATGTTGGCAGTTGATGGCTGTGAAGTCCCAATGTTTCAAGACGAGACTTATCCGTCTAAATAAACATAAAAACAACACACAACTAACTCGAAGCTAAAGAGAAGATACCGGTGGATTTTACCGATGCTATTGTCACACACACACCAACATTAGTGCGAATAGCATGCAGTGGGTTATTCATCCCAATTTTGGTGCGAATAGCTTTGAGTCGTGCAAACACGTCACTAGTGGTTATTTGACAGGAGGTCCCAAGTTGAACTTGTGCAAATATCCACTATTTTTATTATTTACACTCACATACTGCGTGCGCCGCGAACGACTACGAACGTCTGAAAGTTCCATATATTTTAGAAGATTTATGATTTATGATTTATGACGGAGAGTGTTAGGATGCCTCGGAAATCTGGTTTAGTACGAGATCAAATTTGGTTTAATTTAGTTTAAACTAATCTTTGTCGGATCATACTTAACTTCTCCAAGTGCCATAAAACTTTCATTGCTTGGTGAAGAATTGATTCATAAGCTGTTCCAAGAATTAAAAGCAATGTACGATTTATATTAGTTTATTGAACAATGTCAAAAGAACGTTAAACATTATATACCACAATTATATCATAATATCCTATCTGAATTTTCAGGTATCTTATTTACGTAAAATTTTCAATGTACTACAGATAGGGCACCAGCTCCAGTTGAATTCCATTACATCGAAGAGGAACTGCTCACAAACTCAAAGGATAATCACAACATGAGGCAAGAAAAAGAAACGGAAGACCTTTTGAAATTGGTAGAACAACTTGTTCATTATACTAAAAATGACTCAATTAAAAAAACTTTGTATCCGTACCTGAGAAGTACTCTTGGTGATTTGTTGGCTCAGTGCCGGTCTATTGTCGATCAGGCAGATGACTCTCACACAGTTCCCAAATTCCAAGAAAAAATTGATATAAAGAATGATTTACTAGCTGCAAGTATAAATGCCACCAGGGACAGCAGCTGTGCTGGTCCTTGTGTTTCTTATGATAAAATGAGTTCCCTTAAAGCTTTAGAACCAGAATCCTTGTTTGTTGAGACGGATATGACGGACAATGCAGAGCAAAATGATGCTCTCAATTAACGCGCTTGTTGTCATCTATTCAGTTAAAAATCTCACACTTTATGTCTTTACTACATCAATCTGATCACAAAATGGCATCAAATTGAGTGGCTTGAAATATGTGACAGTGACCGTCAGATTCATGTCAGTGTACTTGTGTCTATTCTGACAAGTCTGTATTAGTTGGGTGAATAAAATGTACTTTCTGAATGATCTCTTATTAGCAAGTTTAAGACTGTGTAATTGTATTTGCAAGGTCAACTAATTAACTTGGATCATTCAATATGATGTGGCATCATACGTCTCTTCCACAGCCACAGGTGCTGTGGTGGCTGAGCCAGGCATTCAATTACCGTGTTCTTTTGGGGTCGCTAAGACTACATTATAAAGAATAAACAATGTTT